GCTCAGTGGATAGACTGTCAGCCCTTGCATGGGAGGATCGAAGATTCGATTCCCAGTCAAGGGCACGTACATGGGTTGGAGGTTCGATACCCGGCCCTGGTCAGGGCGCGTGCAGGAGGCAACCAATCGCTGTGTCTCTCTCACACGGACGGTTCTCGCTCCCCCACCCCCAATCCCTCCCTTCCATTCTCTCTAAAATTCACTGGAAAAAATCTCCTTGGCTGAGGATGAACAAACATAAAATAATAAAACGAAAAGGCCATTTTGAAACCAAGAGTTACTTCCTTTCCCACGCTGGGACCGTTCCTGAACACGTCAGCCAGGCTGCTATGAAATCATAAGGTTTCAGATCGGCGAGGTTCTTGGGTTTTATCTTATCCAAACCCTTCACTTGCAGAGGAGGAAGCTGAAGCCCAGAGACGGCACGGGACTTGCCTGAGAACGAACAGCTTTCGCTGTGAAGGTCCGGACAGGGGCCTTGGTGCAGGTGAGGCCTTTCCTCCCAGCGGGGTGCCACAGGCGCCTGCCCACACTGCAGGAGTATTTGTTTTCTGCCTTTTCAATTTTTTAAATTTCTTAAGTATTTCTTTACATTTCCTAATTTTTTCCTTAAGATGGTGTTGGCTAGCTCAGTTTTAGAATAAAGAACTCTCTACCTGATTCCTTCTCTTTCCCTGAGGCCGGCACTCTTTTTTTATTTTTATTTACTTATTTATTTTTAATCCTCACCTGAGGGTATTTTTCTCTTTATCTTCAGATAGAGTGGGAGGGCGGGAGGGAGAGAGAGAAAAATTGATGGGAGAGGGACATATAGACTGGCTGCCTCCCACACGACCTGGCCCAGGGCCAGGGATGAACTGCAACCGAGGTACGTGCCCTCGAACGAAATCGAACCCGGGCCTCTGGTCCGCGGGCCAACGCTCTAACCGCGGAGCCACACCGGCCAGGGCCCGACACTGTCCTTTTAGAAGTCGGGGCTGCCACCTGTCCCTTGCAGACTTGGGCGGATTATCTCGATGACCTGGAGTGACAGCCACGGATGGTGGGAAAGTCTGGCTCTGTCACGGGCTTGGCCAAAGCGCAGTGTCCTGTGGTGCGGCCCAGGTCTGTCGTGTTGAGATGCTCTGAGGCGGATCATCAGGCCGGTGGGAACATACGGAAGGTGTCACAACCATTTTCTTCTTTGTCCCAAACTGTTAGCCCATCAGACAAATGCGGAGCCATCCAAACAGGTACCTGAGAGATGAGATGTCAGGGTCCAAATACTGGCCAACTCCTTGACTCAAAATGCCTTTCTGGTTTAGGAGAAATGGCCCCTGTCCTTGAGGAGATGACAATGTAAAATCCGGTTCCTAACTGAGGCTGCCTTCTCTGGGCCTCGTTTTTCCGCAGGCGGGAGCTGGAAGGACCTTAGGATGCCAAGAAATGCTTCTTTCCTCCTCGGCAGCCAAGCACCAAGCGTGTGGGCAGTCTTATCGCCCGGTCCTCCCTGCCCACGTGCCCAGGCTCTGGGCTCCTGACCTTTACACCCAGCCTACGGATGGGGCCGTGTCTGAGCGCGTAAACCCCCATTCCCATTTGTTTAACTTAACTCCAGACAAAGTTCAAGGGGAAAGGTGCACCCCCAGGACTTTGTACGCAGTGGACTGCCTCCGGCATGAAAGACCTGCCCAGTTAGACTAGCGGGTACGGACGACAGCGGAGTCCCTGACTTGTGAACTAGTCACCACGTTCCGAGATGCTCACGGGCATTTACTGAATGTAGTGCTGCCGCTTCGCGTGGGGTCATTCGTTCACGCCTCACGATGAGCCTCCTTTACGGTGCAGGGCGCACAGAGAGGTTAGGCGCTTGCACAGCTCACACAGCGGGTAGGTAGAGGAGCTGGTACCAGGGCAGTGCTAACTGTGTAGGCTGTCGTAGTAAGTATATCATCCTGCCTTTCACTACCTCACTTAAGCTAATTTTTTTAATATATGTTTTTGTTGATTTTTTAGAGAGTAAGGAAGGGAGAGAGAGAGAGAGAGACACTGATGAGAGAGAACATCGACTGGCCGTCTCCTGCACGCCCCTCACTGGGGATTGGGCCCACAACCAGGCATGCGCCCTGACCCGGAATCGAACGAACGGAGACCTCTCAGTCCATGGGAGGATGCTCAATCCACTGAGCCACACCAGCTGGGCAAACTAATTTAATATTATCTTTCATCCTCATCTTGCCCTAGCCGGGTAGCTCTGTTGGTTGGAGCATCGTCCCAATAAGCCAGGTTGTGAGTTCGATCCCTGGTCAGGGCACATACAAGAATCAACCAATGAATACATAAATAAGTGGAACAACAAATCTTTCTCTCTCTCTCTCTTAAAAAAACTTTTTAAGTCCTCATCTTAATGCTTTGGCTTAGGTATTATCAGTGGTGAGCTGGTAACTGTTTAACAACCAGCTCTCTGGGGAAGAGGAGTGTTGATTTGTAGTGTTGGCCAATTTTCCTAGTGTACACGTCCCACTATGGTCAATTTCAAGCTATCAATGTGACATTGACAAACACCAAGTTGGGAAAAGAAGGTCAGTAGCTGGCCATTGTATGGGGTTCCTATCACACAGATACAATCCACATAAATAACTTCACAGATAATAGTAAAAATACTTAGCAAATTAGTAGCAAAATAATTAGAAAACGGGAGTTTTGAGTATTTCTTGCCTTTGTTTTTAATAAAATATCTTTAACTGTAAATAAGTGAAAAAATAAGCTGTAGAATAATTCCTACAACACGTTCTTATTTATATATATGTGAAAACTCCCCACCCAAATATGAATATAAGTATATATTTGATCACAACAGAGTAAACTATTAAATTGGGTCACTTCAGAGATGGGATTGGGGAGCCAAGGGATAACTGACCTTTTCCTTGTCGCATTCGGTATTGTTTGAATTTTTACAAGTTGTGCTTGTGTGATAAGAAAAGCGACTACAAAGCGTTTTACGTGGGAAGCTAGAACCCTTGGCGTTCCCAGGCTGCCCACCTCAGCCCCTCCGCTCTGCCTCTGCGCCACATGGTGCTCTCCCCTCCTGTGTCAGTATTTCTCCTCTTCTTTCTTCAAATTTTTTAAACTGATTTTTAGAGAGAGAGAGAAACATTGATTGCCCCCTGCACAGCCCACACCGGGGATCTAGCCCGAAACCTAGGCATGTGCCCTGACCAGGAACCAAACCGGCGACGCCTCGGTGCACAGGACGACGCCCAACCAACTGAGCCACACGGGCCAGGGCCTTCTCCTTTCCTTATGAGGACACCAGTCATTTTTGGATCGAGGGCCCACCCTACTCCAGTATGACCACCCTAACTGGTTACATCTGCGATGGCCCTGATTCCAAACAAGGTCACGTTCTAGGTACCGGGGTTAGGACTGCAACATTTCTTTTCAGGGGGACTCAAGCCAACCCAGCAAGGCTTCCTACCACTGATTCTCCACAGAGCTGCCAGAGTGAACTTGTAAAAGATATCAACTGGTTCACCCCCTGGCTTCCCATCACCGCAAGAACAAAATCAAACTAGGGCCACATGGCTTCCTTCACTGGGTGCCTGCCTCTCGCCATCCGCGTCCCTTCCTACCCCCTGCCTTGCTCATCGGAGCGAACCCCACTGGCTGTTCCTATAGCTGGAGCAGTCTGCGCTCCTTTCCCTCAGGGTCTCTGTGTTCTCTTGTCTGGAATGTGCCCCCGCCATGTGTGTGCCTGGCTCCCCTGCCCACTTCTTCCCAAACCAGGGCCACCCCCGCCGAGAGGTCTAGTCTGCCCCTACCTAGGACAGTGGCCCCTCCTGTCTCCTATTGCTCGGTTTTCTTTATGGAGCTCAGTACTATGTGGCAGTATGTCTTATATTATTTATTATACTACATGTCTCCTCACTAGAATGTAAGCTCCATGAGGGCAGGGATTTTATTTTTTTTAATTTGAAAGCCTTGCAGATATTTTTATTGATTAAGTTAAACATTTGAACAGGCAATCATTTACATGGTATCCAGTTTTCCCTACCCCCATAAGAAACCATTTGTATTAGTCTCCAGTATTTCTTTATGTTTCACTTCTTGGCCTTTGGCTAAGATGAAGTGCAGTATTTATTTATGCAAATATAATGTATATTTGCACATATTTTTGCACACTTACACCAAAAATATCATTACATACATAAGCCGCACCTTGCTTTTCTTCCTTGAAAATATTTCCTGGACATCATTCTGTGTCAGGTTATAGAGAACTTCATATTTTTTACAGCTGCATAGTATTCTCTTTCGGGGATTTACTATATCTGATTTAATCAGTTCAAGTGCTTGTGGTTTTCATCTTTTGCTATTACCACAAATGCGGGGCAGGGACTTTTATGCTGAACCCCCGCCCCCAGACTTTTTGTTCTTTTTTAATGAATTTATTGGGGTCACATTGGTTAATAAAATTATATAGGATTCAGGTGTACAATATAACACATCATCTGTATATCATATTGTGTGTTCACCACCCCAAGTCAAGTCTCCTTCCATCACCATTTACCCTCCCTCTTCTACTCCCTCTCCCCTTCCCTCTCGTAATCACCATGCTATTGTCTGTGTCTGTGTGAACCCCCAGTCTTGAAGTCTTTCTGCACAGAGGAGACTGTCAACACAGTAAAGAGCAAGGCGAAGGATGAATTCACCACCACTCAGGAGGGAGGGAGGGTGTGGTAGAAAGGAGCCCGGGGCGGCCCACTGGCCCGGGTACTGCGCGGAGGCCCCACCAGGGGGCGCTGCAGGCGGCGGACGCGCCCGGCCGGCCGGGCCTCGCCGCTCTTGCCGTGCGCGCGGACGCCGGCGCAGGGACTAGCGTGGGGGGAGGGCGAGTCATATGACCCGCTCGGCTTCCCGGCTCCGGCCGCCACCGCCCGCCCGCGTCCGCCCGCGTCGCGCCGGGGCCCCGAGGAGCCGTTGAGGGGTCCGGGCCGAGGCCCGCTCGTGAGCAAGCCGCCGCCGCCGCCCTGCCCGCCGCGCCGCCGCCATCATGCTGGCGCTCATCTCCCGCCTGCTGGACTGGTTCCGCTCGCTCTTCTGGAAGGAGGAGATGGAGCTGACGCTCGTGGGGCTGCAGTACTCCGGCAAGACCACCTTCGTCAATGTCATCGCGGTGAGTGCCGCCGGCTCGCCGCCCGGCCCGCGGCCGCCTCTGCGCCCCGGGCCGGGCGGTGGGAGGGGCGCGGGCCCGGCGGAGCTCCGCGCGCTGGCGGCGCCGCGGCCCGGGAGGGCGGGCCTGCGCTCGGGGGGTCGGGGTTCCCTGGGCTCGCTCGGTGGACTTTCCCGGTCACTTTCCCGAGGGCGGGACTTGGAGAGCCCGCGAGAAGGCAGGAGGAGGGAGACGCTCCGGCAGGTCGCCACGCGCGACCGGGGGCCGGGGGGGGCTCCGTCCCGAAGTGCGGGTTTCACCCTTCCCGGGGGACCGGGCTGAGCTGTGGCTGCTGAGCGGGGAAGCCGGGGACAGCGGTCCGGCCGGTCCCCAGCTAGGGGACGAGACCGGGCCGCAGCCGCACAAAGTTAACGAACTGCCTGGACGCGCGGGGTGCGCGGGGGCGTTTCCAGGGAAGGGGTGTCCGGGCGGGAAGGCGCCCCGGGAACCCACACCCCGCGGTGTGGATGCGGGAGGGACCGAGGGCAAGGATGGCGATGGTGGCGTTCGGGTGTCTGGGTTGGTTGCGGGAGGAATGAAGAGGGAAGGAGTCTCGTCGATCTTTATTCAGAGCCCGCGAGCTGCCGTGACTCAGTCTCAGCGGCTCCGGCCGTCCCTCCCGGGATGACTGGGAACTGCTCTCGGAGATGGCCGCGCTGCGTCCACCTCGGAGATGACAGCTGGAGCCCTCACGCGCTCGGAGGCCAGTTGTCCAACTGGTTTGGTTTCGGGACGATTCAAACACACCTCCTCTATTGGGGAAAATAGGCGGCGTGTGGCTTGGTCCTTCCGCCAACGGAGCGTAAATAAGACGCGGAGGGAAAGCGATGGGTAGAAATCCAAATTTCCTTTGAAGAATGTTGCATATAAGTATAAATAAATTTACTTACTTCTTTGCTGTTTTGTAATATTATTATTTTTCCCCTTGAGAGGACTGTTTCAACAGGTATAGTAAGGTGAAAGTATACCTAATACCACCAAAATTAGTAGGAAAAAACTTTGGGCATAGTATCCATATTGGAACTGTAATATAATATGGAAAAGGCTAACCTGAATGCCTGTGAGTTCAGTAAACATTTTGTGTTATTCCCTTGATAAAAGAATTGGGGTCTCCTTGTAAATCCTATTCTTTTGACGAGACTGAATTAACTTATACTGTAGTGAAGGCTGTTACTGCATACAATTAATTGTATTTGTTGCAAAGAAATAGTTATGTTTGGGAAGCCTAAACAAAACTTTAGTAAGTCTTTGAGGGACTCAAAACAGTGTCGCTTATTATAATGAGCATGAACTTTGAAGTCAAGCAACCCTGGGGTTGCCATCTGGCTCTGCCACTTTGCAGCCTCGTGTCTTCTTTCGGTCCTTGCTTTCTCGTCTCTTATGTGGAGATTATATTTCTTTTTTTTTATCCTCACTCGAGGAAATTTTTCCTTTTTTTTTTTTTTGTTCAGATAGAGTGGGAGGGAGAGAGAGAGAAACATTGACGTGAAAGGGACACATCAAGTGGCTGCCACCCGCACGACCCAACCAGGGCCGGGGACACACTGCAACCAAGTTACGTGCCCTTAGCGGGAACCGAACCCGGGTCTCTCTGGACCGTAGGCCGACGCTCTAACCGCTGAGCCAAACCGGCCAGGGCTATAATATATTTCTTAAAGAGTTGCTCTGAGGAGTAAATGAAATGACATGTGAAGTGACTACCATCATGCCTGCCCACAGAAGGAGCTAGGTAAATGGTAATTATTAGTATTATTTGTCTTGAGTACAGCCCTTTAATGCAGAAACATTGAGAAGGGAATTAGCTGGGGTTGTTTCCTTCTTTAAATCTCCCGATGTATCCAACTGTGGACTACACTCGTGGATTTATAGATTGAGGCAGGTAATTCCACTACATTACATGCCCCCTCCCCCCATTTTTTGAAATTAGATTAGTTTTAACAACAACAAAACTTCTGGAAAGCTGTTGAACTCAAAGTGAACCAACCAGTGGTTCCACTATTCTTTTAACATTAGGCTACTCTTTTTTAATTATAATAATGTGTGTAGGTTCTGTTAAGAAAAAAATCTGGATTGCAGTAGACTATGTATTGGGTAAGATGCTGGGAAAAAAGAGAGACCTCAGTAAATGTCCTACTTTTTCTTTTTAAACCTCAGACTCTAAGCTAATCTGTGATTCACATAGAATATATTGAGGATGAGGAAACGGTTAATAATTACAGACTTTCAGATGGAAACTGTGTCCAAAATAGTAAATTTAGCATTATCTTTTTTTAATCAATTGTATGTTCTTTGTCTTTTGTAGTCAATGCTTGTTTTATAGACTCAGAAATGCAGGTGTGTTGAGCACTGAGTGTCATGTACATTCAGATTCCACAAGTAACTTCTCAAATATGGAAAGCTTTGGTGAAGCCAGTTTTCTGTGGGTAGAAATCAACTCTTGTAAACATCAAATTAAAATGTGGCTGTATCTTCTGCCTTAAAAGTTTAAAAAATATAACAGATGTTATTTAACTTACTCAAATGGTTTATGAAACTGAAGTACTTTTATGTAGGGTTTGGTCCATTCTGAAATTAGGCAATTTACTTACAGAGAGTTTCACTCCTAAAAAGCATATTCTTGTGGTTTTAAAATTGAAATGATACTTTATTTAACTTACTATTTCATGTAGAGACACTTGATGTACATAGTGTTCTGTTTGTTTTAAAAAATAAACATCTCTGGTCTTGAATGTTCCGATTGTGTTAGGGAATGATACAGGGCCCGTGCTAAGTATTCTGGCAGTTATTGTGTAATGAACCATGTGCCCTATATGTGTAATGTATGTTGAGCAATCTTTATTTTTAACTGAGGCTTTAGATGGGTTATAGGATAGTGACTAAATGTTATAGGATAAGTTTTGTACACATTGTGTATTTTTGAAATGAGTAGTAGTATAAAAATCCCTTTACATTTTTGTAAAGTGTTGCTACCACAGAGGTAATCCAAGGAAATAGTTGTTACTGCTGAAAATTAGGGATAGGAGATATTTGGGAAGATTGTAGAATTTTGAACCTAGAATTATATTTTTAAAGTATTTTTTAATTAATTGTTTAGGGAGAGAGAGATAGAAACATCCATGTGAGAGAAAAACATCGATAGGCTGCCTCCTGCACACCCCTCACTGGGGATCAAGCCTGCAACCCAGGCATGTGCCCTGACCAGGAATCGAATGGGACCTCTCAGTCCAGGGGACCACACTCAGTCCACTGAGCCATATTGGCTGGGCTAGAATTATTTTTTTTAGGAGTTTGTAGAAACCTCAATTAAATGGTCTAATTTTACCCTTATTTTATAGATGTAGCTGGGAGATCCAGAAAGGTTAAATGAAATTCCTATACCACAAAACTAATTAGTAGCAGAGATAAAATTAGAGCCCAGGGCCAGTATACTTTCCGCTTTTCCTGCCTGCCTCTGTAGATCCAGTTGAGATTAGAACCATAGAGCTGTGAGTTAGAGATCTTAATCCTTTGAAAATATTTTTATATATAGTATGCTCCTCTTAAGAGTCTGCATAGAATTATTTCATTACTTTGGGGTAAGAATGACAAAGCAGTTTTTAAAGAAAATTTACTATGGCACATGTCTAAAGTTTAACAAATCCGAAACTTTGCTGTAGACACCAGCTTTTCCACGCAGAATTCTTCAAATACAGCGTGAGCTGCGGAATGAGGCATCCCACCAACGAGCATGTCTTCAGAGTTCCTTACTCACCCCATCCCAATCCCCTGCCCCATTTTTTTTTTCTATGCGAACCGAGAATCTCCCAAGCCCAATGTTCTCATTAAGAAGCTGTTAGAGTGCAATAATGCATTTCAAAGTACCAACCCAGGATATTTCACAGCTTAAAGCACTTTTTAATGTTTGGTACATGCCCCTAGTGGGAAGCGAACCCCAGGACTCTCTAGTCCGCAGGCCAGCGCTCCAACTGCTGACCTAAACCAGCCAGGCTTAAAGCACTTCTTAAGTTTCTCAAAGATAAAGTGCGTGGTCACTTAACATGGATACAGAATGCATTTTACACCTATAAAAATAATTATTTAAATGTTATTTTTAGAAGATTTTTTTCTGATGATCAAAATCATACAGGGTCATTAGTAGAAATTTTAAAAGAATAGTATATGGCTGCCATCAACAAGTCATCAAACAACAAGTGCTGGGGAGGATGTGGAGAAAAGGGAACTCTAGTACACTGCTGGTGGGAATGCAGACTGGTACAGCCACTATGAAAATCAATATGGTGTTTCCTCAAAAAATTAAAAATTTAACTGCCATTTGACCCAGTGATTTCACTTCTAGGAATATATCCTAAGAAGCCTGAAACACCAATCAGAAAGAATATATGTACCCCCATGTTCATAGCAGCACTATTTACAATTGCTAAGACCTGGACACAGCCCAAGTGCCCATTAGTAGATAAGCACTAAAAAAGCTGTGGTACATATACACAATGGAATATTATGCAGCTGTAAGAAAGAAAGATCTCTTATCCTTTGAGATGACATGGAGGGACCTGGAGAGTATTATGCTAAGTGAAATAAGCCATTCAGAGAAAGACATATCACATGATCTCACTTACTTGTGGAATATAATGAACAAAATAAGCCCAGAGACATAGAAGTAGGGATCAGGCTGACAAACCTTGGGTGGGGGGGTAGGATAAACCAAAGAACTTATATGCATAACCAGTGGACATAGACAACAATACTGTGAGGGGGTGGTCAGGAGGAGGGGTCCATGGGGGGGTGGGGAGGAGAAACATCTGTAATAAAAATAATTAATAAAAAACAGCTCTGGCTGGTTTGGCTCAGCGATTAGAGTGTCGGCCTGTGGTCCAGAGAGACCCGGGTTCGGTTCCTGTTAAGGGCACGTACCTCCGTTGCAGTTTGTCCCCGGCCCTGGTTGGTTGTGTGGGTGGCAGCCACTC